TGGCTTGTTTAGTAATTGATTATACAGATGGCTTTTTGGCTATCTGACTATATTGTTGTTTAGAGGATTAGCTTCCTCTAGTTTTTCAATATTTCTAATATAATACCTGCTAGGGTTACTACTTATTTAATAGCTACTAGCTCTACTATTATACTCTTAATACTGCCTCTGAACTTGATTCTTTAAAAGTAGGTAAATAGTAATATTGATTTCTTAGAGTATATTACTACTTTAACTCCTGCTTAGCTGTTAGTTACTAAGCTATTAGTAAAGACATTTATATATTAGTTTTTTATTTTAATGTACTTCCTATATGCCTTATCTAAGTTATACTAGTCAGGTTCGCTATTAACTATAGTCACTTCCTATAATAGGGCTATCTATATTAGGATAATTTCCATTCTAATCCCTATCTTTCCTAACTGTGTTTCTATATTATAACAAAGGGAAGTGAATAACTTTGCTTTAGGTTTCTTAGCCAGTTTTCTAAGCTGTTTTTTTAATAGGTTAATTTCTAATAGTGTATAGAGTCCTATTTAGAATTTGCTAACTTTCAGTTTTAGCTAGATATATAAGAGATAAAGCAAGGCTTTAGCACTAAATGCTTTTACTAAGTTTATATAGAAGCATTTAACAACTGCTTAAGCCCCTATTTTTTATATAGAATTAAGAATCTTTATTATACTATTATTAATCTTTCCTTTTAAGGACTTAGAATATTATATTATAGCTATATAGTCTATTTTGAAAGCTATTATAGCTTAATATAGCTATTTTGCTAATTATAGGCTAATATAGGAGAGACGTTTAAATTAGCTAGCATTTCTCTATCCTCTTATTTTGACTTTAGCTAAATAGTCTTTAAACTTTAGCTCAGTGTTGAAAATAACTCCTAGGATTCTTTCTCTTATGAAAGGTTTGACAATATAGTCTCCTACCCTTAATAAGGGGTCAGAATTGCTAATTTTCCTACAGTTTTGTATAAAATATATAAGAATTATTTTATTGCTTTTAAATGTAGCGCTGCTGTCCTTTGCCTATTAAATAGCCTTTAAAACAACTTTATTATTAAATACTAATATATTTCTCTTTACTAATTCTGAAATAGCCTATTAGGTATAGTTATTTATAAACCCTATATTGCCTTGTTTCCTATTAATCTTTTCCTTTATTAGGAATACGTTAAAGAAGATATATAGAATAGGAGCCAGCGTTGATTCTTATAGAAAGCCAGATTTTGTAAATGTGACTCTGCTTAATTCTATATTATTAACTATTACTATTACTAGTTAATCTATATAAAAGAAGCTAACCTATGCCACTATATAGGTTAGGATCTCTTTTACGTATAGCTGACTTATAAGCATTTATTAAGGGATGCTATTATATACTCCTTTTATATTAAAACTAATAAAGGAAAGGATTTTCTTTTACTATTATGCTTTAAAGATTTTCTCTATTAAGAGAAATAGCGCTTAATTATATAAGCGTCTTAGCTTAGCGCTAAATTGTATTTCTAGGAGGAGATTGAACATCTCAGCCTAATATAATATTCTTTTTACTAATATAAGTTCTATTAATTTGCTTAGAATAGCTAAAAGAGAAATAGAGTAATATGCTTTTACTACTTAGTAGTCCGGTTTTCCTAGCTTTTATAATAGCAAGATTTATACTGTTTTCTATACAGTTAGTATATATCCTAATTAGTATAATATATTAAAGATATTAATAATTTAGTTACTTAGAATAGTTTATAAGCATTTTCATATAATATTTAGAATACTATCTATACCTAATGCTTTATATAGGCTAATCTTAGCTATTGCTCTGGTTACTTCTTTAATAAAGATATCTAGATCCTCTATATATTTAGTATTAGAGTTCAGCGCATTCTCTTTCCATTTTTTAGGGACTAGTAGGAAAAAGTATTAAAGTAGTTTATTTACTTTAGCCTTGTTTCTTTTAAGCTCTATTTCCTAATCTTTAATATTAGTAACTATAGTAGGGATATTGCTAAACGCTGATAGTTAGGGGTTAAGATATTAGACTGCTTTTCAGATATTATTTATCTATGCTAGGAATTTGTTTTAATATAGTTGTTTTTTATTACGGATGCTTTTATAGAACTAGTGTTTAGCTTGCCTAGCTTTGTAGCAGCTTTCTTTGCTATCTAGTTCTATAGTTTATAGCGCGTTGCTTTAGTTTAAGTATTGCATATATTTATTACGTAGCTCTATAAGTTTGTTATCCTATTATACTTTTATATATAGTGATTCCTTAACTATAGAGCTATAATTACGAATATATTAGCTTATAATGTTCTAGATTTCTATAATTACCTAATTAAGCTTAGTAGTATTATTAATATTAACAACTGATAGTCTCTATCCCTTAAGCGCCTTAATAGCTGTGTCCTAATTTGTTTTTCTGAAGTTGTATTTAGCTCCTTATAAGGCTATTGTTTTAGCCTTATTAATTCGAAGTATTATAGCTTTGTAGTTTAACCTATATTAGATTAGATAGATATTGCATTTTATAACCTAGTTTTCTATTAAATTAGATATTAGCATAAGATTAATAGTAGTTCTGAATTGTCCTTATAGAAATGTGATTATGCTGCTTAGTAAAGCTAAGAAAATATTATACTGTTATATCTATTAAAGCACTAGTTCACTTTCTCTTTTATACTATAATTATAGCATATTAATTCCTTTCTATATTAGGTTATAATAGTTAAAATTGCCTTTAGTTATAATATAAAGGTTCTCTCTATATTTAGCTTTTGCTTTCTAGATTGCTTTACTTAAGGCATTGAGCCTAATAGTGGCTATCTCTTCCAAGTCCTGCTTAGAAAGCATATATCTATTATAGCTTAAAATGTAGATTGACGCTATGAAAATGTATTTTATTAATATAATAATAACTTTTATTATTATATTGAATAATATTATAGGGATCTGGATAAATGAAATATCTTTATAAATATAAAATGCTAATTAAAATATATAGTATATTAGTCCCTTTTAATATATAGATAGTATTATAGTAACCTAGTACTAGTATTGCAAAATGTATAATTTGCTTTTAATGCTAGTAATACTTAGTTTTATAATTATAATTACTATAAACTAGCTAATAGACTAATTGTTAATAAGGCTGAGCTAAACTAGGGATTATATATTCATATTTGCTAAAAGGAAGCAGGTGTCCCTTATTATATATTGCTTATAGTGATTTCCTATTTAGTATATTAGCTTATAACTGTTTGCCAATCCTTTTCCTTTGCTTTAATAGGCTAGTTAGAGAATTTATTTCCTTTTTAGATTCTACTAATCTCCTTTCAATATGCTGCGTATCTAGGGTTTATAGCTATATATAGTCCTTTATATACTGCACACTTTAATATTATAGCTATACAGTTATTAGTTTTATAGTTATCTATGTATTTTCTGTATTTTAGAGGTTAGCTGCATCTAGCTTAGTAATAGCTATATTTATTGCAGTTATAGCATCTCTAAAGGCGTTGGATCTTATAGTATTAACTAATTATTGCTATGCTGCTATTAACTTAGACTATGCGTTTCTTAAGCGCTCTTTAGGTGTTTTCTACTATATTAAGATATACTATTATAGATCCTATAGGGTTTTCCCTTTTAAAGAGCTAGAATACTTTAATAGCTTTATTAAACCTATTTTCTATATTAAATTCAGCTACTATTTCCAGTTTAATTTTATAAATACTTAGTATTAGAACTGCTATTTTATATATATTATCAATCTTAATTAGAAAGAGTTTCTCTTTCTGGATTTAGGCTATTTCAAATACCTAGTAGATCTATGCTTTATTTATATATAGTTATACTACGTTTTTCCTATTCTAGGTAATCATTCTTATATCCCTTATTTTAAATTAGATTCCTTTAATAACAATATTATTTATAGATTGTTAGGCTGCAATAGCTTTTTGGATTTTGTCCCTTATTGCTTTATAATTATTTATTATTTTACGCTATTTAGCTATTATTTAGTTTAAATTTATTATAATCTTTAGAAATTAGCATAGTTTTTTAAAAAAAAAAAAGTAGGTAATATTATTGCTATAATATTATTATATTAAAGCTATATAGCTAACAATAATGAGTTAATTAAGCCTAATATTATTAAAGTATAGGAGATTAATAAGGAGACTGCTATATTAAGGTCAGCTAGGGATATTAAGCTTGCTTATTTAAAGGTTAAAAGAACTATCTTTCCTTTATTAACGCTAAATTTAATAAATTAAACTTTAGTATTTAAAGCTTTAATATTAATATTAATATTTTTAATATTTATATTTATATTATTAAGTTTCTTTTTAAGCTTCTTATTTTTCTTTATAATAATATTAAATATTATTATTATTACAGCATTCTTTTAATAGAGTTGCTTATTCTAAGTTTGGAATAATCTATTCTAGTTCTAGAGTTATTTATTCTATATATAAAATAGTTTATTCTATTCCTAAAATTGCTTAAGCAGCTTATTAAGCTTATTATTCTAAGCGTTTATTGCTCCTTTAATAAAACGCTTTAGCATATCTTTTATAAAAACAGTATTATTATTTAAATTAAGGGAACAGATAAGCTAAATCAGCCCTCTGCTCTATTTAGTGTTTCTAGCTCTTTTCTATATTGCTATAGTAGCGTTCTATCCCTTTAGGAACAATGCTAGTATAACTATAGCAACAGCGTTACTAAAACAGTTAGGCAGCACCCTTTCCCTTGACTAAAATCGATGGGAGTTGGATAGTCCGACTCGTCGAGTCAGCTTGTAGATGAAACTGTCAATAAAATGATGAATATCGATAAAAAATATCGATGTCGTTTTTTCTCTTATTTGCCGGTAATTCTCTTCCGCTTGCGTCGCGTCAGTCCTTGGTTCGAACGGAATATTTGGATTTCAGTCATTATAAACTGGCTTACTCGGCCACAACTCCAAGCCACTAGGGTTAAACAGCTAATTCCTTCGTGGCGCAATTGGCTAGCGCGTTCGACTGTTAGCTTGTCTTCGGACTCCTGCGATCGAGAGGTTCCTAGTTCAAGCCTAGGCGGGGGAGCATTCTTTTTCGCAAATTTTGGTGGATAGCATGGTTTTTGTAGTCACAGGTGTGTGTTCTTTGGACGCATTAATTTAGCAGCAGTTTAGTAATGAATCATAGGAAAATCGCATTTGATCATTTCTTTTGGTTATCACTGAAGTACGGGTAGCTGCTGCCCCCTTCGTGGGTTTGAATCCTGGAAAACACTCATCTCCATCCACGTGGTACGCGTTCTTCATTATTTCCAGCATATGCCCGCAGCCGCCAGAAACTCTAACCCCGCATGTGGCACATAGATAGCGTGGAGACTTTGACGTCGCTCTTATTGTAAATCGAGCATCTCCACAACTCCTCTCAAGCCGAGACCATAATGAATGAAAGTCACATCGCGAATGATATTGATTGCACAAACCGAGCCCTATACTGATAGCTAAGCCTGTGATAAAGACAGAGTACACACAATTGAAAGGAACCTTCTATACAGCCTTCTCCATCGGAGGGCAAAATGCTACGAGTACTACTTCGACTATTATGAACCCCTCTTCATAGCATCGCGCTGGTGCTATACCCCTGTCCGCCCGGCCGCTTGAGCACCGGATGAGTGGATGAGGATTCAAAAGAAAAAGCCACCACCTATATGATGACTACTTAAGACTTTCTTGTCACGCCAGCTCACATCCTCTCTTGCAACAGCCGTAACAATCTAGATTTACAACGACTGAAATGCCTAACACAAAGACTGTGCATGTCCCTCACCTTGGTGGCATCGATGCCGCATACCAAATGCCTCATGCCTACGATGCCTTCAAGCCGACCCTGGTCCTCGTCAATAGCTTCACCACCTCGTCTGAGCTCTACCAGTCGCAATACAAGAACAAAGAGCTTACAGATGCCATGAATCTGATTGCCATTGAACTCCTTGGTCATGGACTGACACGTACCAAATCAGAGAATTTCACGTACTGGGACACAGCGATAATGAACCTTCAAGTGCTCGAGGCGCTCGGCATCAAGAAGGCCTTTGTACTCGGCACTAGCCAGGGTGGCTGGATCACAGTCAGAATGGCCTTGTTGGCACCTGAAACCATCATTGGAATCATCCCACTTGGTACATCCATGGACAACGAGTCTGAACGTACACGCTCCCTTGGCTGCTGGGATGGCGCTGAGGCCTGCACTGGTCCAATCAACAACTGGACAACTGACGAGAAGACTCCTGATTTCGAGCCAGACACCGAGTACTGCGATTTCTTGATTGACATTGGCTTCGGCAAAGACTGCGACAAAGCTGCAAGGGATTTCTGGAGGAAGGAAATCAAGGCCAATTACCAGGGTGATGATGGAAGGAGGAGAGCTCGCATGGCGGCAATGAACCTCCGGGAAAGAGACACTCTGCATGGCAGATTGTTCGACATTCGATGCCCGGTTCTGTGGCTCCATGTAAGCTATACACATGGTATTGTTTCGCCACATTCACATGCTGATTATCAACCAAGGGTACCTCAGATGTAGTGTATTCGGTCGCGAATGCCGAGCAGGAGATTAAGCTGTTCACAAACTCTCCCGATGCTCGTCTGGTCACGGTCCCCAACGGCCAGCATTTCCTCAGTTTCTCTCACCCTCAGGAGGTAGACAGCCAACTCATTCAATTCGTCAGCAAATATGCAGGAGGGAGTCAACTGTAAAGTAATTGCAGATAAGCGTATAGCCAAGGCGGTAACTGTACATATGAAACACATGACGAATCAAGCTAAAGCCCGGAACAAGACTTTCCCGAGGACTGTGCCGTAGGCAGTGATCTCGAGCTTTCACAGCCGTCTTTGCTATATCACGTTGCCCTATGCTGTACCGCCATAAGTACGTATTCGTACAACCTATGAGCTCGCACGCATTGATCAGCCACACCTATAGAGGGTTGCCTAAATTTCCTAGCGACTACCGGACCATTGGATAATCGGCATAGTGTCCGTGCTGGGGCAATATAACAGCCCCATGGCACAGTGGTCTCTCAAAAGCCGAAGTGTTATGGGCGCTAACTCCGCGAATATGATGCCTTGTGCATACCTCTGCGTTTCACAAGACATCTCAACTGTTCCTTCGAGCAGGTTTTCGTTAATCATCACCAGACCAACAAAGACCCCTCTTTTCTCTGCATTGCTGTGAGGGGTAGCGATGATCGACATGCATATATTGACGCTCTAATACGGGTAACGGCACTGCTCAACTTCCCAAGCGTGCCCCTAGCGCTGATTCCGGAAGACAGGTTCAATCAGCTATATAAACAACTATTTCTTTCTCTGACCATGCAAGCAATATTGTCTCACCGGAGGCACCATTTGAAGCTGGTCCCCGAGTAGCAGTCCACATAATATCCCTTGCTCAAGACGTAGTCAAGGTTCGAGTGGGTCGATATATGGTGGAACGTGGCAGTGGACTAAATTTATCTGCAGGTATTGCCGAGGCTTTCTCCTCAGAGTAGATACTACAATCCCGGGCTTCAACGACAATGTCGCCGACAGCTCATGCACATGGCAAACTTCAAGAGTTGGGACAGGGTCTAGCACGCCAAGGTACAAGTGTGCTCTTGTCTGCTATAGTTGGAACAGTATCGAGCCACCCTGCCCAGCTGCGTACCATTGTTGCTGAACCCTCGTCTTAGATCGCCATATACCTGATCGCACAGGTTGTGTACAACGTCTGGTTCTCCCCTCTATCGAAATATCCAGGACCGAAGCTCGCCGCTGCAACGCGTGCGTACTATTGCTACTACGCTGTGCAAGGACGTTGGCCCTTCCATGCCAGCGAGTTGCACAAGAAGTACGGAGACGTTATCCGTATAGGACCTGATGAGCTGTCCTACGCAAACGGAGATGCGTTCAACCAAATCTATGGTTTCAAATCGGGTCAGCCTGAGTTGCAGAAAGATGCACTTCTTTATGCCAGCTTGGGTTCTGGACCCGGTATCATCCTGGCTGATAGAGACCGACATAGCGTTATCAGGAAGTCAGTCTCGCATGGGTTTTCCGACCGGGCCATGCGACAAAACGAAGGCATCATTCGCAGTTATGCTGACAAGTTCATTGAGTCTTTGAGGGAAAAAGGCAATGATGGTGCTACGCCTATGAACATTGTCGAATGGTTCAACGTGAGTTTGCAGCAGTAGATTTTACTTAGATAAAAAACCCAAGACTAACAATCCTAGTTCTTCACATTCGATGTCATGGGTGACCTTGTCTTCGGAGAATCTTTCCATTGCCTTGAAACTGCTGGCTACCACGCTTGGGTTTCTCTGATCTTTGACTCGGTCGCTCTGACGCCTTGGGCGAAGACAATACAGTGTTACCCTTTCTTGTCACCGGTTATCAATTACTTGATGCCGAAAGATCTTCCACAGCGTCGTGTGGACATGCGTCGCATGGCCTACGAGAGGGCAGAGGCTCGCAAAGCAGTGACAGACGGAAGGCTTGACCTTTGCACTGGTCTTCTCCAGCCAAAGAATGGAGTCACAGACGATGAGTACAAAATAACTGCCCGCGTCTTCATTGCCGCTGGCAGCGAAACAACAGCCACATTGATGTCAGGCGCGACATTCTACCTCTTGAAAAATCCCGAAAAGATGCGAAAGCTCGTTGCCGAGATTCGTGGCAGATTCAAGTCGGTAGACGAGATTGATTTCACCTCGGTCAGCCAACTCGACTACCTGCTTGCTTGTTTGAACGAGTCTCTTCGCATGTACCCACCTGTCCCTGACATTTTGCCACGCCGTACAGGGGATGTTCCACAAGTCATCTGTGGACAGACTGTCCCACCCCACGTAAGTTCAATAACGTATGCTGTGGTCACCATACTAATAAAGTGATTCAGACCTCACTAGGAGTTTCACACTGGTCGACCTACCGATCTCCAAAGAACTTCAGCCAGCCAGACGAATTTATACCAGAACGCTGGCTCGACGACCCGGCTTTCAAGAACGACAACAAATCTGCATTGAACCCTTTCAGCGTCGGGCCGCGCAATTGTATTGGTAAAAAGTGAGTGTTTTGTCTGCGTGAGATCTTTCTTATCTTGGTCTAACAAACATGTGTGTAGCCTTGCATATTTCGAAATGCGCCTTTTGATGAGTATACTTCTCTGGACCTTCGACCTCGAGCTTACGGCCGCATCAGAGAACTGGTCAGATCACAATATCTTCTTCTTTTGGCAGAAGCCGGCCTTAATGGTCAAACTACACCCTCGAAGCGAAGTGTCTGCATGAGTCCAGACAATTATCAGGGCCAGTGTGCACATTGTCGATCGGATGCTGAGACTAGCTGAAATAAACTCGCACTTGTCACGGTATGTGGGTGTCGCAAGATGCCGTTTTGTGCAGCCCCACTGTATCCTGGTTTTTGAGCATGCAGGATTCGACGGGAAACGCTCCGGCTTGTCTTGGCGATCAGCGACTGTGTAACGGCATGTCATGGAAGAGTTCGGACAAGGAGCTTTCTTTGGAGCAGATATACGACTGCTGTCTGCTGTGCTATACATTGATTTAGGGTTCGGAATCGAACGTCGCGTAGAGCAGTATTGAGGAAACGGTCCTCGTTCCGAAGCATGTCTCGTAAGATCTCAATATTTATGCCGAGACTATCACAAAATAGGAAGCCTCTCCTTTCCTTGGATCGTAGCTGCCTAATCACATGTCCCTTGCATCTGAGAGAAGTCTAAGTGGTTGACACAAGAGTGTCTAATTGGCAAAGTCAACATCAACCGCCATGTTTCAGTTCTCCATGAACGTCGGCAATGCCATATACCCGAACTCATAGTCTATGCTAGTCGCTGGTGTCAAATCCCTATCTGGACGATCCTGAGGCTTATGCGTACAAGCATTATCGAATCGGCAACTGTTTTCAACTGTTTTCAACGGGGGCTAGTGGTGTACCGATCATTTACCCATACCCATGAAAGATTGAGAACACGAGGCCCTTGAAGGAGAAGGCTGCGAGGCCTTATCTATTGGCGAAGCAGAGGAACATAAA